AAATTACGTTTTTTTTGTCATAAATGAACTGGAGATGCTTTTCAATATTTAGAGTTTAGGATTACCACTACATCTACTGACGTAAAATATGAATATTTTATTTATACATAAAATTAATTTCTTATTTTAAATGTCTGAATACTAGTGTATAGCAAAGCTGTTTTCTTATAAGATTTGCAAAACGACAAACAACAGTAATCCTTTAGTTGTTCTATAATGTTAAACTTAACTTTCCCCAAGAGATAAAATATAAAAATCGGATAGAAAATAACAAATACTTAAATGTAACTAATCCTTTTCTACCACTAGTTACCCTGAATATTCAAATAAGATTTAAGTTTAGCTACTGTTCTAATGGTCAACAATAGTGTGGAGTTTGCTTGAAGAGTGATTTAATTACTCTATAACATCGATGTTTTGTTTATACAGTCAAAAGACGTTAAGACATTCCTATGTATTACACATTCGAAGTTTTAGTGCCTCTTAATTGGCGAGTTCCAGTTTATTTAAATCATAGTACATGTTGTTCTTGTTTTAGAAAGTTCACGCAAAGCTACATAAAGGGCTATTTCCGTATAGCCATCTTTAATTTTGAACTGATAAACAAGAGGGAAGGCAGCTGGTCAACAGCACCCTCCGCCAACTCATGAAGTATTCTTATCTGATCGAATAGTAGGACTTGACTGCCATACTTTCAGCACATCAAAAGTTAATGTATGGAACGCGTTTTTGCGGCTGTAGGAAATGAACCATGAACCTCGAATTCACAGTCCGAGTATGCTAAGCATTAGACTACACCCGGCCAAGATAGTACAAAAAGATAATGTTTGTAGTTAAATTAGACAAAATGTACTTTCTCTATAATATGTATATATATGCATATTATGAGCACAGTAAATATGTTTCATTTCACGAATATGAATCAATCACAATAACTTTTAACTCTTCAAAAGTAAATCCATTCAGAACCGGCACTAGATTTTCTGTGGCCCTGGTATAAAGACTTACAACAATGACCCTCACATTTTGGTGAAATTAGGTAATTTAATCTATGAATTTACTGTTGCTATTACCCATTGGATAAAAGTATGTCAACCTTTAAAAAACACGTTAAATCACAGTAACGTGTATTGTGACAAAATAACGAAGTACAGAGATGGAGAGGAGAGGTTTGGGACATTTTTATCTTCTCCTGGTATATAATAAACTTTAACATTCAATAAACAACTGAGAATATTGATTAGTAGATCACTTTCATGAATTCTTGTCTTTTGGTGATGACATCTATATTAATGGGTTAGATTGAAATTCTCTGAATAAACCAAAGAGTTTGTTTATTTGTAATTAAGCACAACGCAATACAATGGGCTGTCTGTGCTCTGCCCACCACGGGTATAGAAACCCGGATTCTAGCGTTGCAAGTCCGCGGACATACGGCTGTGCCACTAGGAGGGCTAAATCAAAGAGAATCTGAAAATTTTTGTTGCATTAAGAAGCATATACGTCCATTCATGAACTTAACGTTGTCAAAAAGAGAGTCTGAAAAATTGAAAATAGCACTGAATCAAGAAACACACACGCCCATTTATAAACTTCACTCCGATATCGCTGGTTCGGTTGCATCATACATAACCCTGACCAGTTAAGTTTTTCGATCTATTTCAAAACACACTGATCAAACAGATTTTTTGAAGCACCCTCCATTTATTCAATTCTTATTGCTACTGAAAGCAAATAAATATTTCAAAGGCAGACATATTTTCTCCAAGATTTGATAAATATATATATATAAATAAGACTTTTATCAAACAACTTGCAGGTAAATGATTTCTCAGCCCCAGTTTACACAGTTCTTTCATTTTGTGGCATTTTATTAAAACGCGTCAGACTTCATCGAATGTTGTTACAGAATATCGTTTGAATATGATATACCTGAATTGAAAATTTAAGTTCTAAAGAACCTTCTCACAGAAACAAGTGGTTAATGTGACAACTAGAGACCTGGCGTGGCTTAGTAGTTAACGCACTGGAATGTGAATCCAAAGATCTATGATTCGCGACCTACTGTCATAAAAAACGCGCTCCGCACTTTGTGGATGTGTTATATGAATGACGATCAAATCCCACTATTTGATAAGAGTAGTTCAAGAACTGGTGATGGGTGCTGTTCACAAGCTACCCTTTTTCTAGACTATCAGTTCAAAATTAGGAATGGCAACCGCAGAAAACCCTTGTGTAGCTGTGTGCGAATTTCCGACACAAGTTGTGACAACTATAAATTTATCAGGCTTAATCCCAACAAGTCAACTGTATTGACACATAACAACTGTAATACTTTTTTTTTAGTAAGGAAATCCTCAATAGACGCGGCACTTGAAATATTTTTTAGGGAGGATTAGAATAAACTAATTTATGAGACCTTGGGCGTGGTCAGATACATCAATCAAACCTCCCGAGTCCAAAAATGTAATTAGATCTCAAATCGGTCAATAGATGACAGAGCTATGACCTAAAAAACCAAAAACAAATTAAGAGCCGTTTTATGAGCCGCTATGCCGCGACTAACAAAAACTGCTTTGAAATCATCATCCATGTGACAAATCTTATAATATGTTATTTAGCAATGTAAGTTTTTCGTATAAAGTTTTATACATCCAAATAATTTTAAAAACTGAGCTGCGTTCTCAAGTTTTTACTTTTGAAAACCACCTACAATCAGGTGGGTTTTACATACTTATAAAAATCAATTCCATCAAAACTTTGACAATGAAAAAAAAACAAAATAACTGGATATTAACTTTTAATCTGACATCATCTTGACGAGGTTTGGAAGAGTTATTTGTATTTATTGTAGGAAAACGCTAGCTGGTGTTGTGAGTTGGGTTATTTTAAACATTTTTCATCAGTGGATAAATAACTACTTGAATCCGTCAGCATAAGACTTGTAACGATCCTAGATGTATACCAAACAGTACAGCAAAAGCAGTTTTTGCATGCTTTAGTAACATTACAGAAAAATAATGCAGGCCGGAAGAAACGTGTATGATGTTGAGTTAAATATAAATAGCCACGAATTTTTTGTTGTTTTTACTTAGTTGTAGGTGAGCCTTACTGTCCTAATACTAACACATACATCCGTATCTTAACCGAGTTAGACAAAAATCGACTTCGTGAGTGCGCGCTGTAGTTAAAACTCAGTTTTAACTGAAGTAAAAACAATAAGAATAGCTGTGACTTCACATTTTTCTCGTTTTAATCAACATTATTGAGAACCTCTACACTATTAGTACACTTTGTCAGCATACTACGCTCCGTGTTGAAAATAGCATATTTTACCTCAAAGGCACACGATGGGCTATCCAAGCTCTGTCCACCGCGGTAATAACACCTCGGATTTTAGTTTAAGTTCTAAAACTTGCCGCTGACCCACATGGGGTCACTGAAAATAGTAAAAGCAAAACTACGATGGACAGTAGTACGGACTTGGAATAAACCCGTTTGCTTTTTGTCACCAGATTCTGGGCCCGGTATAGAATATTTTGCATAATCACAATTAAATCCATTCGGTTCAATAGTTACAGTGTTATACAACTAGTGCTTGCACAATCACAACGTAACTCAAACCAATCCTGTCACAATAATGATATAATCCATTCAGTTCTTTAACAGTTTAATGTTATCCAACTATTGTTTGCATAATCATAACGTAACTCAAACCAATCCTGTCACTATCACATGATATAATTCATTCAGTTCTAGTGAAAGCCAATTAGTGACTGCGCAATCAATATACATATCCATTCTTTTACAAACATGATATAAATCAACCAGTTCTTACATGAACATAATGGATTTGTATTACTGAGAACAATCAACTTCATCAATGATACCTCTTTTGTTGGGTCTGTTTTCATTCTTTGAGTTTTATCTTTGTTGGATGTTGCTGCACTTCTTTCATTCCATTCGAAATTTTTCACATCTCTTACAACTAATGTTTCGTGTAAATATTCTATGTATGCGTGGACCTTTGGTACGATAAGTATTTTCAATTGCAGATAATGAATGTCACGTGAATAAATAAATAATGTCATCTTGAGTCAAGATCAAACGGATCTATTTTAACCCAATATGATCCCTTATAAATATCGCTCTTCGAGTGAAAAGTGATATAACTTATAATATTATTACGCAATCAAGCTTGGGTATTTTCAATAATAACACTCAAATGAGTTATAAAGTGTTCATAGACCCATATTTACCATGAGGTGTACAAAATGACACTTATATGGTTCTAGAACTTTGAACACAGTGTACAAAGCTTGAAAATTTTATTACTAATCCACATCAATTAGTAAGTGGGCATTTAAAGTTTTTAATGGTTTTCGTAAAGCTAGTGAAAAGCGGGACTTTACTTGTAAACATTCAAAAATAAACGTCGATGTAAATATGCATTTCGAGAATTTACATGTATTATTGACTCGGTCGTTTCAGATGTTTCGTTGTGATACTACTGATCAACAAAGTAAGAACTAGAAAACAGCATTAAATGTTATACGACAATAGTTAACTCCACTTTATGACGAAATTATAGCTTTAAACTGAATTTCAAGAATCGATTTTCGTTTTCATTTCCTTAAGACTCGCATTCAAAAATGGGACTAAAATTGAAAATTAAAGAAACAAAATATAGATATATTGATTTTTGCTCTCTTTTAAATTCTTGTGCAGATTTGCGTGTTTGACTACATTAATACTCAGCGAAAATCTATTAGCTAAGTTATAATCTAGTTCATAATCTCAACGGTATTCTTGTCCATTTCTTCCATCTTATACAAACCTCTATACAGACTATTCCTAACTGCAATAGCAATATTATCATCTTAAAAATGTTTAAACTTTCATTAATAAGACAAATCTATTACTGTTTTTTTTTGTACGACAAAAACAATTTAAAAATGAGTGCTTTTTTTTTTCTTTTTTAGAAATAATTTCCCACTCTGGAGTCTTTAAGAAACGTTTATTTTACAGTTTATCTCATTACGGGGATGGAATCTACAAATTTGTGATTGTACGCCTTCAAGCAGACAACGAACCACAAGCTCTTATATTTGACAACAGGCCTACAATAAAAGCCTGAAAAGCTATACTATAATTAATTCATGATTATCATACCATGTGATGTAAACATTTTCGACACTGCAAAGAATACGTATCACATTAACTTAAATGCAACATCTTTCAACGTATTTCATACATGCCATCACACATTAAAATACAAAAAAAAAACTTGCAAATATATTGTCTATGAACTATCAGCCATCACACAAAACTTTGGAATTTAAGTACATTGTTGAGTAAAGAACATTTGTATATGATCACATTTTAATTTGTACAATTCACACACACACACACCTTGCTGATATTTTACGGCATTTTCCCAAATAACTTTACTAGATTTTGTTAACCACATTTTATCAAATATTCTAGTATGTCTTTACAAAGAAAAAATCCGCTTATCTAATTTTATACACATGCAAAGTATACGAAACATAGCTACTTGAAACTTTCGTACACTATTAAATTGTTTATACATATATATTGATGAAACAAGACTTTTCATTTTACTCGCTTCTTTTATTAACCTATGGATGATGTACTGAATAATCGTAATAATGGGTTACATACAGAAGACAGTTCAAAATTTCTGTCCTCAATATAGTTAACTTGTCAGTGTTTATTACATTCGCATGACCTTTGGCTAAATCGTGTTTGCATCTGAATAGTCTTGGATTGCACATTATATTTTTACAGATAAAAACGCTACCTAGTGATTTTTTTGTCAAAGTTATTAGTTCCAAGAGGCCATCTTAATACAAGGTATTCCCTAACCTGGTGCTAAAGCGAACTTATAGTGGAACCGGCTTCAACAAAACAGCAAATACACCCACAAGTGATAATTCCAGTTTTGGTGATTTTGGCGTGTTCACTCCTTCGATTTTTTCAAAGTCGATGCAAAACCAGAGTACAAATGTAGCCAACAGTACAGTTCAACGGTCAAAAAACTGTTGGTAAATGTGGGGCCTACGTACATGTTTCGAACAAATCCTTCGCCATGTGTGAAAATATTATAAGCAAATCGAAATAAATAAAAATCTTACAACTTTCCTCGTATTTTTACGAAATGCCTGAAACAAATATGTTAATAACCTTTTTTCTGCATAAGACATTTTAAACTATAAAGATAAGTTGCGTCAAGAGGTGTATTTCAACGAATCCAATTAAACTTAACTCGTGAAGAAAAAACTGATAACATCAAATTGAAAATCTTACTTATCAAAACCTTCTTTATCAATGACATTAAAAGTTTATTAAACCATTTTCAACCCTTCATTTACGGCTTGTGTAAATCTGTCTACCACCCCATCCCCAAAAATTTGCGGCGGGTCATTCAAAATGTTGCGCGCAAAATGCTTGCATCATACGATGTCAACCACAGTTGACGGGTTAAATGTTGTTTCTAAAGGAATATTGTCTGCGCAATGCCTAAGAAATACACAAGTTCAGAATGCTGGTTTTAATTTTTAAGTTGCATGAGTACTAGAAGAAGGCGAGACTATGCACCAGACTTTTAAATTAATATAACTATTAAATAAGTATACAAATTTACACTTCATTCAATTATTTCTCCACGATGAACGTTACTGACTCTTAAACCAGATGGTCTTTCTAACAAAGCACATGTAATAAACAAGGCTGTAAAATTTTATTACTTATGCAAGCTTCAAATGATTCTAATATAATTTCCAACCACAAAATGGGGTATCTTTAAAAGGCTAAATTGGACAGCATCTGTCTAGGAAGATTTAGACGACGTTCAGACTGCTAACGCAGATCTTCATCAGGGCAAATTTATGCTAGCAGCTCGACATCGTCTAAAACTTCCTGAACAGATGCAGTCCATTAACAAAGCCTTTCACGTACACTCTTCTCCTCTGTTTCCTCACGTAACAAGATGGGTTATGTTTATCTCAAAGCAAAGCAATGAATAGTTGGATTCAAAAAATTCGGTGTTTTTCACCATGACAACTTACCGTAACATTAATTACCAAACATCAATTGGGTAAAATAATCCGTAAATAATGACTATCTTCATGCTAGTTGAAAGCGCATAATGAAAGATAACTTAGAAGATATAACTGCCAATACCTTGAAACACTTGTTATAACAGGTGATTACCACATTATAGCAAAACTGTTTCAAATGATTTTTTTTTCATTTTGTGTTTCTATCAGCAATTAGTTCACCAGAAAAACGTAAAAGTTTTCAATTACTTTAAAAACTAAGAAACATACTTACAATATAACAACTAAATTTTGCACTAGGAGGAAGAAAACAGGTATAGTTAAAACAATTAAATACATTGTCTTCCATTTGCAGTCCACTTAAAATTTCTCTACCTGAAAGCAGAATAAGTATATATATATATATGTATATGTCTAATAAAATATTACCATATCATTTAATATATTTTTCAATTTGATACAAAGAACTGTTTCTCTCTGCACAGAACGTAAACTATAATATAGTTGTCCACAAACACTGTATAATAAACATTAACACAAATAAAATCTTCTTGCATTTATAGGATAAAAAAACTAGATAAAATATGGATGAGTTCTGAATAATTTTTAAAATACTCAATCCTATCATTATGCTTTTTGAGTTATAAAATATTAAATCTGTATTCCTATGACTGCACCTCTAAAATCTTGCATGAACATTACTTCCATCAAGCCATCTTATAACAGAGACAAATATATAAAACACTACAAAAGCTACGTTATGGAAGAGTAAAGATAACTGAAATAATAAAATTAAGCTTTGTTAAGAGATTGGTCAAGAATATAAGATTAGGCAGCTTAAAAAAAGGGGGGATTTCCGCTAGAAAAACAGTAGGAACTACCAAAAGCACCCAAATATAGCTGGCAATTAGATTAACATTATTGCTTAAATGTTACTTTTTTCTATATAACTTATACAATAAGCTTCCATGTGAAGAAACATCAATGAATGTAAATATGTTTATGATCTGATATTACTTAAATAAGACCAATGTAAAGTACTAATAACTTGAAATGCTTCACTTCTGGTCTCCCAGTAAATTTGTATTTTCTACAGCTGTATTACTAGTAATAACTAAAACTTTTAACTTTTGATTGCAGAGTGAATACCCAGAAATTTACTTGTTAAAAAAGATAATTTCACAGAATATATCTGCACTAGCAAAATATATCTATCTGATTTTCATCTTGCCCCATCAATTACTATTAGCGCTTGATAATTTCTCTGAACATTTCTTCAGTTTTTTTTATATTATTTTTTCTATGATATGGATAAATTATATGTACAAAATACACCCTAGAATCATGTACTACCATTGTTCTGTTGCAAGAATATCATACACATAATATTCTGTAACCATATTCCTTATAAGTACTGTCAAAATACGGAAAGACTGAATACAGGATTTGGGACCCAAAGCCTTCCACAACATAATACATTTATGTGGAATGCATCAAAATGGGCAATTACTTTAAAACCTAATCTTAGAAAATGTTGTAATATTGTAAAAGTTAACTCCTAATGTTTAGGTTTAACTTTTCAGATGCTTGTTAAGTATCTAATCTTATCATCTGTAACATCAGACTGTTCTTTTAAGAAATAACTACTCATTTTTGAATATGTGATACAGAAAAAAATAAAAAATCATATTTTTAGTCACTGTAAAATATAACTATCTATAATTCTTTACTATATTCCTTAAACTTTTACATCAGAAAAAGTAGTGATTTCTGTGATAAATTATGTTTCCTCTCATTGCAAACAAAACCATTACCCTTAGAGTAAACCCTTGTTCCAGAACAAAGCAGTGAAATATCATTAAATGTTACAAAAAAAAATATTAATTAAAACTATCACTTTCTGAATCTGGTTTAATAAACTTGTGCTTCAAATGATTAGACTTTCTAAACCTGTGGCTACAGTCCAACCCATTTACTTTGGTGTTAAATTTAAAAGTATATATCTATTCATTACACCATTAAAACAATATTAAAGGACTTGGAACATAATATTCTTCAAGTGGTCATATCAGCAGATACAGTACTTATAGTGAAGTAGGTGAAACATCTAGTCAGCAAGGTCAAGGAGAATTCTCTAAAGAGATATAAAAAGTCCTGTTGGTTAACAGGCCACACTCAATCTCTAGCACTGGTAAAGACATTAGCTTGAGGCACAAAAGGGTTAGTTTCAGTCATCTGTACAGATATATATTACACAATAAAGCATAATTGCACATATTATCAGATCTACTAAAAGCAAAGCAATCTATTTTTTTTTTCAAGTACACCACTTTGTTTATTTATTAATAGGTAACTCAGGTTACCAGTTGTTTTTTTTTATGACTAGCTTATTCTATTCCCTTTACATTTTCATTTTCTTAGCTGACACAGGAAGTTCACAACCAAGTTCTGCAGAGCTGCTTATGGTGTGTCTACGCTGATAACATGACAAAAGCTGAGAGCGAGGATATCCTGAAGTTGCACTTCCGTGACTTAAATATGAGTAACCAATTCCACCACTTTTTTGCCGAATTGAAGTAGGGATTCCTGATGAAGATGGAGTTTGGGAAGAGGCCATAATTTCACCTGAATGACTATGCTTTGAATTTAAAACTGTGTTTGAAATTTCAGGATGAGCTACTGTTGATTCCATTGATTGTGACCTTCCACAAATGTCAGGGTACAAACTATTTGGACCAACAATTTGATGGGGTGAATGACCTGATATTGTATCAATTGTACTGCATGATCTTAACAGTTCTTCACCAGACTGTTTCTTGGCTTGGTGAGTTGAAGGCTGCTTGGATACTGACATTTTTGAACATGTACAACCAGGGAGACGTGGTTCATCTGGTCCCAGTGATGTCACAGACACTGTGGTTGAAATGGTATGTTTAGTGGGTGAAACAGTAGCTGTAATTAGGAAGTTTTGCCTATGAAGGATGCAAGTATCAGCATGCCAATGTAGTGGTCGTGCCAAAGAGGAGCTAGCATGGTGTCCAAAGACAGTTCCTTCTGTTCTTGCATCAAGAGAGGTTCTGTGTCCAGTTGTGATAAATGATGTCCCACCTTTAGTAGCAATACTACATACTTCTGATACATTTGGGAAATTAGAAGTTTTGGGTCTTGTTGTGACAGAGACTGATTCTTGGCTATCAACCCTATTAGCATCAGCTGAAGTAGAAGAATTAGAAGAGACTTTATGTCCTGTCATAAGAAAAGTTACCCCTTGGCTACCTATCACATTAGCTGGTTCTATACTCGAAACACTAGAAGAACCAATACCTGTTGTGACAAGAGTACCCTGGCTACTTATACTAGCAGAAGTGTCAGTAGCAGAAACTCCAGAGGAAGTTTTATGACCTGTTGTAATAAAGGCTGTTCCTTGTCTACTTACAGATTCTGGCAGAAAGTTGTCAAACAATGCTTGAGGATCCAATTTTTCTTTAGATTCACAAGGTGTTTGTTTAACAGTGGAAGTCAGCTTTGTCTGATCATCAGGTATATCACTTGATGTTTTTAAACAAGATCCATCGGTAGATGCACATTTCTTCATCTGAGGATGATTCTGCTGTTTATTATGAGACAAGACATTTCCAGCAAACATATTAGAATATTGAGACACTAATCCACCTTGGCCTGGAACAGTTACTCTTTCTGATCTGGCCCAAGGTAGTCGCTTCGATTTTGGCTGAGAGGAATCAGCTAGAGGTAATGTGGAATCCATCATTTTAGGTTTCTTACCACTCATCGTAGTAACAACTTCTGTTGTAGAATCACAGTGGCTATTCATTCCTCTTCGTTGATCTAAGGAAGGAAAATCATATATATATGGATATTCATACCCAAATCCTATTTAATCAAACAAAACAATAACTGATACAAAGTTCAAACCTTAGAATTGAGCAAACAAAATTAACAGGATAAATAACCGTATTTTTATGAATGTTAGTTGTGCAATATATAACTAATGAGAAATTCAAATATGTCATCTTAAGATTTGATAGTAATTAGACAAACCACCAACAAAAAAAACAACTTTAATATACTTGTAACTTAAGCCTAAGCATGTAATACTCTTTCCAAAAGATAGATTGGCTTTAAGACTGCTTACAAACGATAGTATTCTATTACCATAAAGAAACACTATATTATTAAATGTTTTTGACATTTAACCCTTTTCAGCCTGGTATCTTGTGCTTTTTTCATGAAGGCATAGAACAACATTACATTTTCAAACAATTACATCTGATCTCCATCCTTAAACCACCTACATAAAACTATACCTAAAACGCTCAGATTTAGAATGTTATTTTAATACTAATTTCATAAAATATGTTTTTAAATAATGCAATAAGAAAACTTCCAAACTGCTAACTTAAATTATTTTTTTTTTGCCTCCAACTGTAATTTTTATTTAGGGAGCAAAAATATTGAAACTTTTCACCTGTGCAGCTAAAAATTGTCAACACACAAAGGATGGCTACAAATCTGTGGTCTTTATTTTTAAATTGATCATGTCCAAAATGGGAAAATTCAACTAACTTCATGTTGTTTTACAACTTATAAACTTCTAAAGCTAATAAAATCATGAACATACTGTCTAAAATCTGAATTTTTCCTTTCCACAAGCTATTTGACATTGAAGTTCTATTTATTCCTTATAAAGATTGTAAAAAATTACTAAATTTACGTTATATACCTCAGAAGCCTTTTGCAGGTAGCATGCCTTCGATCAATTTAGATATATTCTTGTCCCCCCTACCCTTATGCTTAATAAGTTAATTTTATTGGTTCAAAATACCCCTGTTTGTATATTTGAGGTGTTTGTTTAATGTGTGTAAATAATTTCTAAAAATAATACAAAAATAAGATTTATAATGTAAGAAAATACTGTCTACTTACATTAGTTTATATATGATATTTTTCAACTAAATGGGTTTGTATTTGTTTACATGAGGTTTAGGACTGTATCTGTTGCTATTCAAGATTCTCTATGTTTGTTGAAATGAAGTAAGACAAACAACATAACTGTGCAATGGTATAAAAAATGGTCTGAGTGTTGGATACAAACTTCTTTTTATGAGACAATTTTGTGAAATGAATGACTGTATGAATGTATGAAACAAAAGGTAAATACAGATGAGTTTTAAATGACAATCTGTGTAATCTGTAGAATGGGTTTGTGTAAAACCTAACTATCAGGTCAAACATTATGGAAGTATTAGGTAACAGCATGATATACATAATATCTACGTTACATGGTAGTTTTTATTTATTACAAATAACATAATAAAAAGTCAAGTTTATGAGGTTCAAAAATGTTTGAAAGTTAAGATGCTATAACTCCTTAAACCCAAGCAGACACTGCCAGTGTCTAATAACATTTATGTCTCTTTGGCTGAAAACTAATCCAAACAATGTTATTATCCACAAAATTAAAAAAAAAATTGAATTTTACAAGGTATGGTGATAACTATTAGGAAATCATGAAAATAAATCTGGCAGAACGTCAATAAAATTACGGTTTAGGTAGTTAAATTTGAAGTGCCTGTGTTTCAATTATGGTGATGTTTATAACTTATTAATTTTTATAAATGTAACTAATTCCTTAAACAATTCAGTTTATTGGTTTTTATTACCTGTCATGTTTATTATCCATAAAGCCACATATTTTAAATTTAATCAGTTACTTCTAATCAAATTTAAAATTTAATGCTCATTTTAAATTAATGTAACTTTAGCTAAGATGAATTAAAAACAAAACATAGAAACATAAATTACTTTAACATCACCAAGAGAGACGTAACATAAAACAAAACCTGACATTAAATTATGATCAATTACATTAATTCAAACTTTCTCAAGGTAAGTTTGCAACACGTGTACTCTGGAACAACAAAATCTTTCATGGCTTTCAGTAATCATTATGGTAAACACAAACTAACAGAGGCAAAGGCTGTTTGTTTTTTTTGTCTTACAGTGAAAACAATGAGTACTATAAAATGAAAGAACAAAGTATATGCAAAACAGATAAAATAAATGTAAATATTCAACAACTGGGACAAAGCTTTGGTTTAGAAGAAGCCTTTGACATAACTTTAGCTATGGTCTGAAAGCCCATTATAGAGACATAAAAGTTGCAATATTTATTCATAAAGACTAGTTAAGATTTTTAAAATTTTAATGTACTTTCAATATAATATTTTTACACAATTTTAACTTTGCTAAACATACCAGAAGTATTTAGCACATGAATCAATTAATTTAACATTACACTGTTTACTCACCTTGGGGTTTACGATCTGAATATAAATCAGCAAGAGAAGAGGGGTCATCGGCTATTCGATCTAATAAGTCGTCTTGTTCCATCTCTTGCTTGGCTCTTTGCCATTCTCGTTCGATTTGCTCCCGAGCAACCTGATGATGACTGGATTTTTCCTGTTGTCTGTACAGATCACGTTGAAGCAGTGCTCTGGTTTCCTGTTCAAAAGATTTTATTCTTTCTTTTGTTAAAGCAGACAGTTCTTCATATGTATGAAAGACCACTTCATCACCTATTCCTTCCCATAGCTTCCCCTTCTCTTTACTTTTAGCTCTTGTCTCAGCATGAGATTCAGAGTCCCGTTGGCTCTCAGATATTGGCTTATTCGTAGACAGTGAAGATAAAGATGTGAGGCTGGAACAATCATCAGAAGTACTCAAGGAAGGGGATAAGTCTGGTTGCGGTTGAGGAGGTTTCAGGGACTTTTCATGGCTGCTGGGAACAAACATGGACTGACTCATTGGTTGTTTGTGTGTAACTGCTTCTCTGCTATGATAATCTAGAGACTTTCTTCGTCGGTCAGGAGGAGATTTTTTATCACTACCAATTATTTGCTCCTCACCATGAATAGCTTCTCGTTTTTGTCTATGCCACATCTTTCGATGGGCTACACTCATTAGAGAGGAGACAAATTCACGTCCACTACCACTACTTCCTACCCAGAAGAGAGACAAAAAACATATCCTATTAAACATCTAAACTTACTTTCTGTTTTTTTCCTCCATTCTGCATACATAATACAAGTTTTTGAAAAACTGACAGGACAAACTACCATACAAAATTTAAATACTTTTTAATCCTCAAAAAATTAATTAAAAGATGTAATAATTAAAGATTATGCTTTAAAAAGAAAAAGGCAAGTAGAAAATCATTTCATCATTTCATAGCCCAAATAAAGTGTCAAAAAAATACAATATTAAATTATAAATGCTAGCTTGTTTAATTAAAAATAAATAATGATGTCATATTGAGTTATACTGGTTCCAGCTGTAAGTTCTGGTTTGATGTTCTTTGCATAAACAACTGGAATGTCTCATATATAGACCATGAAATTTGACACAAGACTCTTGAGAGATTTTAAGTTAAAAACAATACCTCTTGTAGTAATGGTTTCTGAAAGTAAAAAAATTAAACTTTGTTTGCTAAATATACTGGATCACAAAGACCATCTAGATTTATTAATACAGAAGCTGGAAACAATAAAACACCAGGTGGCTATCAAATCAAAGCAACTGCTACATTCAGATATGCCAATTGTCCGTGGAGCAAGTCAAAAGTATTGAAACAATCACATATAATGATTGGCTGAAAAATTAATAACAACACACACACATCAAACACTCACATTTTCAGGTTAGCTATTACTTATAGTGGAAATGCTTTAGTGTGGTTTCCTTGCAATGTTTGCATTTAAGATATAACTAGGAAATACCAAACACAAAAAACAAATTTTACTGATTGAATAAGCAATCATTTGTGAATATAAATTCCACTCTAATCACATGGGCACCATTCTAGTGCATTAGCTAGTCAGGATGTTTATCATATGGCAAGATTTTGTGTTGAGAGGATACAGCAAAATATATGAAATCTCTGGAAAAAATCACAATTGTATATTACCTGTCAAAGAAATGAATAGCAACCCATTAACCCTTGGTTGGAAATGAGCAAAATAATGAGGACAAAGAATTAAGATCTAAGTGGTGACAGAAGCTCAGAATAATGATGCTAATGAGCATGTGGTGGGCAAAAAGTTCTCAATCAGTCCTTGGACTGAATAAATCAGTGACCTCAATCTGATGCTATCCTTGCATAACAAAGAATTCTTTGTTTAGCTTGTGCCCCCCCCCCCTTTTCCCTGAGTGAGTAGCATCCACGTGTTGCATTCCAAAGAGTGATATTACATCAGAAAGTTCCAAATAAAACCTGGGATAGAGAGCACTGTTTCTCAGTCAGCATTGGAGAATCTACCACCAGCTAGCATCAGAGAGCTACAAGTTCACCCAGCTACAAACTAGTCATACCCTCTTCTCCTCCAATGCAAGTATTTTTAAGATTTGTTGGATATACTATTGAATAATGGTTGACAACATAATGTACTTGGAGTAATGGTTAACAACAGGACACTACCTATTGCATTGCAAATGCTGTTTGTTAATAAATGTTGTGTGATTTATCTCAAAAAAACCTCAAACTCATTTCTTTATTCTCACATAAATCTCCTCAAGTTGGTGATCTGTGTGCAAATGTCACTGCCTGCATTTCTGATACATGAATAAATACTATTTGTAACACGTGACTGTCCTCTGATAGTGCTCATAACAAGTTCAGTTCAATTATTGAGTTGGAATTCTTGTCAACTGCTTTAGTTCAATAAACATTTTCTTCTTTGTTAATCTAAAATTGTGTATATTCAATAAGTTGCTCTGATTAAAAAAAGTTTTTTTTACAGTATTTGTCACTCAAAATATATCACGATTAATACAATTATACAGCTCATTTGCTAGAGATCTCCAAGCTACAGAATATTTTTTACCACTATCTACCAAAAGTTTTCTGTCATGTATCATTGTTTATAATACTATTCATAAAAAATTATTAAATCACTTCCAAACTCACTAAAATAACCAAGATAAACAGAACTCTATTAATTGTATTTGGCATAAAAAGACAACATTCTGACTATTAATATATTTCTAATTCCTATAATTAGACAATGAAAAATTAGTCATCAAGAGGAAAAAATTTATTTTGATAGAAAAGTTTACTTAAAGAAATGTTAATGATAATATATAGCCTTCTATAATAACAAAAAAAAAAGGAGGTATCAAAGGTTTTGTGATGACTTATGATAATCCTAGCATTTTGCACCTTTGTTCCTTATTACTATGAAGGCTTAAATCAAAGGCAATTAACTAGCTAGAGATAATGGTAGATATTTCTTTAAAAAATCATTTTCCATATTTATCTAAACTAAAAATGCACCTACCAATTGACAGTGCAATATTTTTGAATAAAATATTGTACTTAAAAAACAGTTTGAATCTAAAACAAAATAATAATAGTGAAATTTAAAATTCCAAAAAAACTGCTTCTACAATTTCTTTCACAACCAATCTAAAATTAGGTACATTCATCAAAGTCTAGTAATCTTTCATTCTGTATTCTGCTACACTTTAAATATCCAAAATTTTTGTAATATTACTTTTTTTAGATTTTCATGCCAATTGAAAGTTGGATTCAGTGATACATGCAATACAGTTTAAACATAAATTTTAAAAGTATGCTTTTGTTAATGTCACTAAGTATTTTAATAATTCTAAATCAGTCATCTTACAATGTTTCCACTGATCTATCAGTAATATAATTTTTAAAAGTAACGTTAAAATTATACTTTAAAATATCACTGAAATGGTTTATCAATCTGATTTTTACCTTACTAATTGTAGTATGCTATAGCACTTATTTTTTTCTTGTGTGAGCATGTGTATGAAAAGAAAAATTATTTCGGCTTCTATATGATCATATTTTGACAAAAATTTATTGTATCCCTACTTGAATTATCTGTTTTTCAAAGATTAATAGTTTTGTTAGCTGACATATCCATGTAATAGCAAATGATTATGTAAAATCATAGAATTTTAGCAGTAATAAAGCTAGGTTTTTTAATTCAAAGTATCTCATGACATTGTAACTTAAAAAAATTGCCAGTATTCTAAAAAAAATAAATTCAACAATTAGAAATACTACAAGTTTGCTATTAACATTGCAATAATGCTAAACTATCAGAAGTTAAAGGATTTCCCTGAGAAGCTTTTACAGTTATGAACTCACCTGCAAAACTCCCCAAATCCATTTTATGAATATTTTCTAGTAAAGCTCCTGGGTCAGCTACTGGAAGTGGTTCTGATAACCTTTTAAAGCAATTTTCTGGCAAGCTTGCTAAGTCCTCTGTAGGTGACTTAGTAAATAACCATTCAGCCTTCATGAAATGAAATCAAAACTTTAGTACTGCAATTTTCTCATTTAATGTTCAAATAACTAGAGTAAATTATTATTGATTCCTTTCAAATAAAGCCTGAAAATGTGATAATAATAAATGGAATCTGTGAACAACTTTTACTAAATTGGTTCATAAATAATTTACATTAGGCCATAATCAATGTACTAACATTCAATTCAAAATGATCACCATACAAGTATTTTTAAAAAAAATGTCTATTAATTTCTTATGTTTTGGTGAGGAAAAAGTAATTAAAGAATACCATCCACTTTATAGAGCTTGTTAACTCATGCCTTTCTTTTTAAATTTTATAATTCTTCATTACTTATTTTCAAGAGTTAATACTTTTTCTGAGCATCATGATTTTGTGTTACACACTAAAATAGCACATTGTACAGATGTAATTATATTTATTAAAATTCAGTTTTGCTCATAACACAATGACCTTAAGCATTATGGCATCCAACCTGGATTTTCACATTTTAAATAACATTTTGTTAAAAATGACATTTCATCTGTAATGGATTTAAATGCACCTGGCAATTGATGTAGTTGTGTGAACAAAATATTAAAAGAATGGCAGCAAAACAGAAGTAAATGAATTATAAAAAAATTTAAACTTACATTTGTAATAATGGTCTCTGTAATACAACACTGATGAGACATATCTGTAACCATGGCAACCATATTGTTATCCGCTGACCTCACCAGGGTAGGCCCAAAAACAATAGCAAGATTCCGAGCCTCCATCTGTATATTTTGAATACATACACAATTGTTCAACCTAAATTTCCTTTATTGAAATAAAGCTAAAATACATTGATTTTAGACTAGTATGACCGATAAACCCATTCCCCAATCTTAATAATTCTGTCGATAAGAAAAATTTTCATTCCGCCTGGTTTTCTCCATCTATGATTGTAATACGAAAAATAATAAAATAATTATAATCAGGATTTATTCTACATAATAACACTCACGTCTTATTGACTCATGAGTTATGGAAAAGTTCTGGATAGCAAGATACAAGTTCGATAAGAATCCAACATGTGAATAGTACGATTATTTAGATGTATTAAAAACTGATGTAATAAAACCTAGTTAAAATACATCTAAATTGTTTAATTAATTAATTCCTGCAACTTGTCTTTAAAAATGTCATAAAACTGGTTAATACACTCAGATTACACATCACATTTTTAGAATATGTTATAAACAAATTGTGTCAAAGTACCAATTAAAGGAAACATTCAACGAATCAAGCAAATACACAGATCACCCTTAAACTACAAAAAAAAAAAGTTTCAAATGCAGTTTTTAAAGAGACAATAATGTGTTGATTAAAATATTGCAAGCAACAAATAAAAAACGATATTTGAATCTTAAAACTTGAAATTCGTAAAGAGTAAGCTTAATCTTTAAGAAAAGTTGAATCTGCATAGAGAATTTATAAAATTACTAGAACTACCATAGCTTTCCAGATTGATGTTTTCAGGTCTGAAGGAAAGCAAAATAACTTGATAGTTTCCATTGGCATCAACTTGTTTTTCCTTATTTTTTTCACACTGATGTTTATGTTAATAAACATAATATGCATAATATTATGAAAACATTCTTACTTTACAGACTGATTACTTATTTATTTCAACAACAGAAACCCATTTCAGGATTTACTGAAATGAATGACAGGTATTACAAAACATTACAGTCATGTCAGGAAAGACATACAAATATTCATTAGTTTCAAACTTTTTGAAACTTTGACATAAAAAAAGAAAAAAACGAGTACAGTTTTACCTCAGAAATAAATTGTACATTAGAAAAAAATTAGTGGCTTTTGACAAAAAAAAAGTTTATTCACCCACCTTGTTAAAACTGGCATGAGTTGTAACCTTCTTTAAGTGGTTCATTACAAATTTTAGCGTCTCAAAGTTATGACGAGGAAGCAGATGAATCTGAAAGAAAGAAAAAACATAACACAATTAAGGAAATATTAAAATCTCATCTATTTATTTAAACACTAGCAATGACCTGCAAAACATTTGCAGTAGTTTTCATACCCTTCACTGAGATTTTCCTTATTCTATCATTTTCATGCACTCCATTTAAGCTAAGCTTTCTTGCAGGCATTATGTGTTAGATTGATAAATCCTGGTCTATTTGAAAACATTTTACACTGTCAGTCAAACAATCTTAAGTAGATGTAACTTTATCTAATGAAACTACATGTAATGTAAACAAAAATGTGAAATAATGGTATTCATAATAGTGTACAGATTATAAAACAGTTATGAGAATTCTGTGTATGACACGGTCTTATGAGTTGCAACAAAGAAACTCACAAAAATGAAGAATAAAACCCACAGTAAAGAAAAAGTAGCTAAAAGGTATTTATAGCAGTCTATGAAACAAACCAAAGCTATATTAATTGCAAAATAAAGTAAATGTAAAGTTGTAATGAAGGCAAACTTAGCTGAATATGCAGAAACATCTGAATGCATGTTCACAAACGATAAGCATATGGTTTTGAATGAGCTGTGGATGCATATTTTAGACCCAAATAGGTCGAGAAAGCCAATAGCAATTGTATTTAGTGTAATGTTCTTTTTTTTTTTAGGAAATTACATGTGGGTTAATTGTTGTTTGTGTGAAATACTTTGCAAATAAAAAACTGAAGTAGAAATCAAAGCCAGATGTCATGTGATAACAACAACATTGTGCCACCACGTAGCATACTTATTGCGTTAAAAAGTTTGACTAAGCAAAAAACAGAAAAGATGATTCTGAATGGAAAAGTCAATATGCAATCCGGACTCCTCGGACAAAGGCCTTTCCTTTCTGATGATATGAGATTTGTAGTGTTTGATTAAGAAATTTGTGAGAAAAGTTCTGGACAGACAAACGCAAGCATATATTTATATAGATTTTATATAATTCCATACATAAACTTTAGTAAGTACATAGTTGTTGTTGTTCCTTGTTTCAAGTAATTTATACCAATATACATATTAGTAAAAAAAAGTGACAAAAAACTGTAAGAATGTGCAGCTCGGAAGAATTTATGCCTAATATTATTTGTCAAAATCATCTTCAAGAACCATTACTTGTATTAAGCCAGATAATGAGAATTATTGTTTAGAAGTCAAATAACACAACTTTTCTCTTTGGAAAACTTACCAGGGACATTTTTCAGATGTTTAAAGCAGAATAAAGAAGAATATAATTATATAACAAAGTAACAAAAAAGATATAAAGCTATGAAGATGTCAGAGGTTATAGCATTAACCAAGCACAAAAATGGCTTTACCAGTCGATGGATTGTTTGAAGTTTCAACATTGGGTTTTCTAATTTACTTGCAGCAATAAACTGTGGGTAAAGTGAAGAGGTGAAGAGGGGTTCAGACAACTTCCGGAAGAAAGCTTTTAAAAGACTAGAAACCACATTCACATCATTCCAACGAGTGTCTTGAAGGTCGTTTGTAATTGACTGTTGGTTCACAGCATCCATCAACATACTGACTGCTGCATTATTTCCTGGAACCCTATATATCCCCACTGTATCAAGTCCTCGAGCTTCAACAATACTGGTACACAGTTCCACAGCAAGGGGAACAAACTAGTTTTGGAAAAAATAAATAACTCAGTAATTATATAAAACTTGCTATTACAAATTCAGTGGTTTAACATAGTTTCTTATCAATGTAACTTACCAACAGATAACAACCAAGTTACTTGATTCAACTACTATATTATTAATGTACATCTATAAACTTGACATCAAAATGTAGTTAATAAATCAACTTTTAATGTAAGTTTGAATTACTTAATTTCAAAAGGAGATAATAAAACAGAATCCCAATCTTCACTTTTCTATATCTTGTGATACTTGTTCATTCCAAAATGCACATTTTTGATAATCTTTCAAAACATATTTCAGCTTCCGAGTTTTAATGCAAATTACAAACTTATATTATAGATATTGTTGAGATATAATTTAACTTTATAGCCTTCAACCATCTTGTTTTACTTAAGTATAAATCAGAAAGTCCAACCCAAATGCTACACCCTCCTATCACATATTGTCTTTCAAAAAGTGTCAATTTTCTTTGACATTCTATTAAATTATTTATAACCAATAAAAAAGAAGATTTTAATTCAATGATTTACATATAATGTTAGCTCATTCTCAGGACAGATTTGAAGTTATTTAACATACATATTCAAAGTGGCTATCACCAAGTTCAACTCAATGAGCTAAGGGAATTATTCTAATACACTTATAGCTTAGTGCATGTTATTATTTTGTGTTCTGAATTGAATATTTGAAATAAATAAAAATTCAGTAAAGCACTGAAAACAATCAAAGCAAAAATTAGGGTTAACTTTTATAGATACTTTGACTGCAAAAAGTATAAGACCCAGATATAAGTACTAAATTTAATTATTATGTATACTTTTATTTATTGTTAGAATTTTATCAGTTAGATCAGAAAATAAACGAAAAAATTAAATAGAAAAGTTCTTAATGAAGTATACACATGAGAAGTTCAGGCATTACATAATTCAACACTGTAACTTGAGTCATGCATTTACCAGATGATTTATAGCTTGTTACACAGGTATAGCAGTTAACTCTTTCGAGATGGGTCACGGGTGAAAGGCCATGTCGTATCATTTGTTGACTTGCATTTAAAATTTTATTGAACTACTATTCCATGAATTTATGTCAATAAGTTTAGTATCAAACTGCATATTATAATTTAAATTTTAATATTATACACTACTCAATTTCTTAATTTAAAAGTAAATTAAAAAACACACAGATAAACATCGATTTTTGTGTGTCACATGGTATGTTGAATGCAACACTTGTTCAAATTAGGTGTATGTGAAGTCAAAATACTAAGTCTATAGTTTTGTATGAATTAGAAACTCAAATTATGATATTGATAAGCTAGAATATAAAATAAGGTCTTATCTTTTCTATTTGCCAATATATTGCTCATGTAATAAATCAAACACAGTGGCACCCTGCCAACCTCTTTCCATTTTTGGAAATGCTCCATTATATACACTTAGTTCTATGTATGACATTAATAACCAATTGGAAGCTCAGAATGTCCCCCTTGTGGCTTTCTCAGTCATTTCTTTCTTTTGAACCAAGGAGGTAGGGTGTGTCTTTAATCTGCTCGAAATTTCATATTTTTTTAGACTAAAATACATCTTAGTTACTAAGCTTGATAAATTATAGTGGAATTCTATGGTATTAATGTAGTAATTTATTATTTTTTAGTTATTCAAATGTATATATATATAAAACCTAAAAAATATATTTTGTTTCATATCCTCCACGTGCAAATGTTTTAAAGGCTTCGCAATCTACGTCAAGCAGCAACTGAGTACAAAGGTCATAACTAGAAGAGATAATTGTTTACTTTACTTCTTTATTTACTCTTCTATGTTTTAAGAAAAATAAAATAAGTTTAAAAACTTATTTCAAAATATCAATAATCTATATACATATATAATGTATAATGATTGAAACGTGACTGTATTTTACAAAATACAAGTCTACTAAAACACAGTCAAGACAAGTTACTTTGTACAGACCAAAGGTCAGTTTTATGTTATTTGATACAGTAATATGAGTGCACATGAGCCACATCATTGTAACTTCTGTATTGTTAGCCAGGCATGACTGAAAGGTCAATATAACAAATATATATAAATGTATAATGTTATGAGATTTAAGCTATTTAATCTAAACATTTATGTTTTGATGTTATAATTTGTGTTAATTCTAGAATGAAAGAGGCATAATTTATATTTATTTCCTAATTTTTTTTATGGTGGTTGTGTGATCAGTCAAACCTACCAGATTAATTACTGAAAATAACAGATAAAACAAAGTTTTTTCTTAAGAAACATTTGATAATTATCTGGAAGACATTATAAAGATTTCGAACGTGAAATTTGAAAATTTTCTGCTGCATAAAAGTATTTTATATCTTAAAATGAAAATTTCTTTGCAGAAAAAAAAAGGCATGAGAAAAATATTGCTTTACAAACCTTACGACTTAATAAAAAAAATTTGATATTTTGCATATGAAAGCAATGTAATGTTTACTGATAATCTGCCATTTTCGTTAACATTCACTTACTAATTTAAAAGTTATAGCAGGGAAACTATAACAAGCATAAAATGGTTACAAGATGGTCTCAGGGACCAAGCTCACGCTGAAAGAGTTAACAAGGTCCAAAGAGCAATAAAACAATAAAATTAAACAAAAACAGAGGTAAACTCTTATGAGCCAGAAGCTGTTTAGAATGAAGAAAATTTTACTTTTCTCTTACAATTTAAAGTTATCCTAAAAAGAAAAAAAGGGTAATTTCAATTTATTTTTTTTGGTAACTACAAGGTTGGTCAAATGGACCAAGCCCTTTGTGTTCAAGTAGAAAAAAATAACAGATAAAATAAAAAAGATTACTGAAAAAAAAACAGCTTTGGATATTCATTTAGGAGGCTCTAAAGGACTAGTCAGAGTCTGAATCAGACAAATCTTTAGTAATATTATTCAATTAGAAAATCTGATTTTTTGTGAACAAGAGACTTGTAATGTTTACTAAACGCATACCAAATTTCATTATGATATATTCAATACATTAAACGTTATTTTATGTATACTATAATGGTTACATGGTGGATGCAAAGTTGGTGAAAATTATCAAGCCTATATAGAGGGTTAAAATTTACTTGGTAATAAAAAAAATCTGAACTCTTGAAACAGTAGGACTGTGGTTCTTGAAAGGAAATTAATGCATACAAGATGGTATACTAAACTAATTTGTAAAAAAATATATAATAATAATAATAGTAATAATTATTGATAAAGGTAATTTCCTGTACTTTTCATTCATATAAATATCATTTTGTGATATATAGTTTTTATTAATTTAGAGTACTAACTGTATTATTCACACCAATAAGAGAGCAATTAATATCACAGTTACTAAAACTGCTAATCTTATCCTTCCACAATATAAAATAATATATTTTTATTCAAGTATACTGAAGTAAATCTATATAAATTTTCTTGTAGTTATCCTCGATGTAGCTACTCTTTATCCTATAACTGGAATGTGAAGGGTTGTTATCTTGTAGTAACCATTAGTCTTAGATAAAGGTTGCACTACACAAGAATTACTTAGTAAAGCTTATATTTTCTTCTTCTTGATTCTGTGTCATGCCCTTCTATAGTGGGACCAAACTTGTTTCAAGATGTGGTACAGAGACCAGTACAAGCTAGTACCAGCTGGAGATTTATTTCTTGAATGTAAAATAAAAATGGTTGTTGATTTAAGAAATCTAGGATTTTGGGATTTTGCAGCAAGAAATTTTGTTCTAACTTAATATTATAATGGCTGTTGTGCACCTATCTGTGGGCAAGAGGGCAATAAAGGCATGCTTGCTTGATAAATTTCACAGTTTAAATAAAAATAAATCATAACTACTTCAACAAAATTTTTTTCACTTAAAAATAGCCAAGAATTGATATTTAGTAACTTAACAAAATATATTTGGTGTAAATTGCAAAGAAAAAATTTTAAAATGTTTGAACTTTGACCTATGTGCAGCTCCAACAGGCATGCCTGTAAACAGTCCTTATAATTTTTTTTTAAATAAATTTTCCTGCCCATTACAAAATATAGCTTTCTATTTACCAGACCTTAGCATCCCTTAAATAGACTTATCCAAGGTTTTGTTTCTCACAATGTTTTACTTTACTCTCAGTGACTACTTTCAAGAACTCTATTATCGAGTCTGTTATAATGCCACAGCAATATTATCCTCCAAACAAGATAAAAACAATGAATAAGCATGATTAGAGAAAAATATTCTTATCTATTTGTGTAAAGTAAATAGCACTTGAATAAGCAGTAATGTAAGAGTCTGGAAGAGTGACTAGGAGACATTCTCATAGCGGAGAACAAAAAATTCTAATGTGAAGTTTACAAATCTTAGGAACCAGCCACATACTTGAGATTCGTTTTACTGTTTCTTGTGACTATGTTTTCGTTTGTGATAATGTATTTCTGTTATACATGTTTTAAAACTACAGGAATACTCTTATAGGTAAGGATATTTACGGTTAGTGAGGAAGCTAGGAGCTCTGTGACAGCAAACTATTCAGATGACAGAAAAGCTTTATATTTGTACGTATTCGTAAATTTATTATTACTAAAACAATTCATATAAGTAGAAAAACTCCTTAATTTCTGAAAACATGCTATAATTATTACAGAGAAATATAGTTGGATGAAATATCACTTATATCAATGTAGACTGAGGAAGAATGGATAAGTTATGCTTATACTGGTCAACACTTTTACTGTTCATTCATTAGTGTTTTATGCTATTTTCAAGGTTACATAACTGATGAATATAAAACAAGTTACACATGATCGATCTTATGTTAAATGGAACTTTCTGCTTAACAATATTTAAGATAACTCAGTTTTATTTATTTTTTCATAATATTCTAAGTAATTTTTTCTTTGTATGTAGAAACTCGTATGAATAGACAAGAAAATGAGCATGCTGTTATTAGAACACTGACACAACAGTTATTTTGATTGAAGAAATAACCCTATTGGATACAACTACATGATTTTAGGTACAGAATGAAATAAAAAGAAATTTAAGATGAAATGGAAGTATTTTCAACACCTTACAAAGGAACGTTTGAAAACAAAATTTCCAATTTAAAACCAAAGATATCATACAAATCTTAATCTTCATATTTTTTCATGCACAAACTATGTATTACATAGAAACTATTTTCAAATTGTATGCTATTAGATTAAGCATTTGTTTGTTCTCATACAGGGATGACATATCTTCCTGCAGTTCCAGGTAGGATTAACAGTGAATATACTACAAGTCTTTTTGTCTTGTGTAAACATTTTTTTACTTCTAGTTGCAGCAAACATTGGAATCTTATATAATGAGTTAAGAAGCTTACTAGTCTAGATAAACTCTGCAATATTTTGTTACTATAGTAATTATGTTCTTTTTCATTTACTTGTGCTTGCTTATTTTCCTTTACTGTTTATGTTCATTTTATTATGTACTTAAAATTTCTTAAAACTGATGTGCATTGTGGACACTTCATAGCCTTCTACTGATAATCATGTATGAAACCTCATGTAATCATCTTACATGTAAATATAATGAAAAGGTATAACAACACCTTTTATACATAGACTACATTTTGACATGAAAGAAAATATTGGCAAAAAATGGATTGTTAAACATAAATGTACGCACCTTATTATTTTGCGAGCTTTGATATTCATCAAGACGCAAGCCTGATCTGGTTCCCTTAGCTGGTGCAGTGTTAAATTTCTTTAAGCCATGTACTACTCTGCCACGCCATGCAGCAACAGATTTGGGCAGTTCATCTAAGAAAAGAAGTAATGAGAGTAAATCCCAGACACATAAGAAACAAATGTGTACATTTGTTTTTTTATAACCACAATTTTTTTCTAGATTCCTATACTTATTTACTAGATTGTGCATTGTGGAGGTATCAGAATTTGTGTAAAATGGTTATGGACACTGTGTGGAGTAAGCTGACCAATATTTCAGTCATCCAAACACACATATATGCATCCTTATTAGCAAACCATCCATGGCAAACGTATTACAGCAGATGATCAACAATACTTGTATACAAAAATATTCTCTGAGTAAGAGATAATGCCACTACAATTGACAAAAAAGTCACACAGCATGTTTCTTGTTTTAATATTTGGTTGTGTTCTCTTTGGCCTTGATAACTCCTTGACATCATTGTGGCACCGTGTGCACAAGAGACTGAATGTAGACAATGGTGAGCTTGTGATGCCACCTATAGATTAGGTAGAATTGCCTACCCTTAAAGTTCGCTCTCAGTAGCATTCACCTATCAACTAGACAATTTTTAGTAGCAAAAAAAAAAAAGGATTTGTCAGTAGCACAGCGTATTACTTTATGAAAGTCCAATTAGCTGTCTTTTCCACCTTCTTTGCATCATGATCGCTTCTTTCACATGAGAAAACTCGCTTGTGCGCAGCCGTTGAGAAATCCTGCTTGACTCACAGCTGCTAGTAGTGTGATTCCCACAGAAAGTACATGCATGCTCAACAGAACAACGGGGCTTACAGGTAGATGCACATGGAGGACTTCAAACACACTGAAGATTTTGAACAAACCAAGTACACCATATGACCCCATAGTCACTGTAGCTATTTCAAAATGATTATAGCACCATAGCCAGAGAGCATTTTACGTAGCAGCTGCGGCAAAATCATAGCAGTAGGCAGGTAGAGCTTTCTGCAGTTCCAAGGTGCTTCTTGGTTTCTTCTCTTGCACTTTGTTACCCATTATGTTTCAGCAGTTTTCAAAAGAGTTGAGATCTGGGCTGTTATCTGGTCAGCTTACTACCTTGATCCTCTTCTTTTAACTCTCTCAACACGGACTCAGGATTATAAATTTTTAAATATTTGTTTCAACAAATGAACTAAATTATAATTCAGTGTATGGTTATAAAAACAAAAATAAAATCCCAAATAGACGCTGCTTTTCATCACTAGACATATTTTTTTATATTAAGTCATAGGAAATAAAATATGTATCACTAAAAATACCATAAACTGTAAGATGATTGCTAAGTGTATGATGTAATTTAGTATATATTTCTGTGTTTTTGTATATATTAACTAACATATGCTATAATACCAGTATGAGAGGCTCTTCTTGCTTTTGGTGCAGGAGCTGTCCCTGTGGGAGAACGATAACGCATAGCAAATTTCTTAATAGGCCTGGGTAGTGGGGAAAGACGACCTACAGTATTCCATAACTGCTGTAACTCAAACACTGCTGCTTTTTCCAAGACTGATGTTGGTTCATTTAGCCAATCCTACAAAAAACAAAATTGGCACTTAAAGACAAACAAATGAATAAAGTTTAATAGTGAGATAGTCCAAAGAAATCAAATTAAAAATATTCACACCAATCTTTTATTAAATTAAGTTAAAAAAAAGAAACCCTGACATAATAAATTTTTAATACAGACTTTTGAAAACTAAAAACTTTATACAGTAATCCATATTTTCAGTACAATCATAAGCTACAAGCATGAGATGAGTATGAAACTGAGAGATTATCATGAAAAGTTGTTTCATTTACCTCATTATCTTCCATCTTAATATGCTGGAGAGCAGCCAGCCATTCAACCATCTGTTCATGGGTGTCAGCCTGAAGGAGGTATTCTGTACCTCCAGGAAGACGCAATCGAAAGACGTGTTTTTTCTTCGTGTAATCGTGGGCTACACCTGTTAAACTGGATTTAACTGGTATTTGAATATCCTCACTCCCGGGACCAACCTAGTACAAAAGTATACATTTTAAAGCTCATATAATCAAACTCTGTGTTGAAAGTAGCAATTACAAGAAGTTTCATTAATTTTCAATAATATATATATATATATATATACACTATGTATACAGCTGATTTAAAAACTACAAGAAACTGAAAGAAGGCATGGTTATCCAAAAGCTCCAGATTGTGAAATGTACTAGCTTATTTCTTATCTTTCTAGTTTTTTCTCAACATCAAATAAAAGGTATAAAATACATTGTGAAAAGGGTTATTAGTTATTAGTGAAGTAAGTCACATTTACCAGTAAAGATACACTATAAGATTTAGCTTTTATTTAGAAGTCTCACATTTCAAGAAACAAAAGAGAAGATGTGGGTGTTCAAATGCACAGCATTCTGCACATTAAAACTACTTTTCATTATTTGCAGTCAGTCATGAGTAGGTAGGACATCCTAATGAAAAAGTTATAAATGTAGAAAAGTTTACTACAACTAAATCATTTTGTTAAATGGTAGTAATTTTTAACCTAAACATTTTAGGTTTTATTAAACTGTTCATGCAATATCATTATGCATGGAATAATAACAGCAAATTATAACATTTTACTCATCATCTCAAGTGTTTTAGATGTGAGGCATGGTGGGTTTGAGCATATATCTTAAAATTTGTTTATTGTCAGATATATAGGATATAATACTTATGGTTACAACATTTTTTCTAGTTAATCTGGTGAAATGTTGTAACCACAGCTCTGTATGTCCAAAAATTAATAAGTTTTAAGTTTTACATAACAGGGTACTTCCTTTAATTATTTGAGCATATATATATATATATATCCATTTTTTTTCTCTTTCAAATAAAGATTAAACTTAATGGTGTATCTTTACTGTTGTATATGTCCTACTACAACAGATACCTTTCTTGTTAAAGTCAATTATACTGTTACACATTCATAATTTGTACCTTAATTTCACCACTTGCATTTTTTTTGCCTTGTTGTCTGAAAAGTTGTTTTATAATAGCACCAAAGGTACAGAAATACTACTTTAAACTTTTTCTTTTAAATATTACATTAACATAAAGGTCATGTAAACTCTATAAACAATCAAACTACACTCACACCTTTGATACTAGAAAATAAAATGAATCAACTTTAAAACTTTCACACTAAAACATTCTTACATAAAACCACATATGTAAGAGAGCTTAATAATTCCTACTTATCATGTTGAACAAAACTGTATAGATACTTCTTTAGATGATGTGCTAGCTGCAGTCATTAAAACATTTGCTCCAATTTTTAAAGCAACATCAGTTAACTCTTTTCTTTCCAGAATGTATCAATTTGATGCACCTGTTTCATAACATCACAAACTTAAACTACTGAACTGCATCAAATTGCATGAAACTTGATATATACTTTCTAAATAATATCAGGTCACTGTGAAAAAACATAATTGGATTTAGCATCTGTATCAATATTTAGCTTACGAAATTTATGAAAGTTTGTTGCAAAACATGGATTTTATAGAAACAAATCAAGAAAAATACTTCTTTTGTCTTAGACTTCCTTTATTTTTTATAAATCTATAAACTCTTCTAAATGTTGCCGATAAAGTTTTTCAATAAAACTACAGTTTTTTCTTCTGTTATTCTAAAAGCATCATAAATAATTTTATTGCCTGCACATACAATCACTAACATGTACAAAGGAAAAACAATATGAAAGAAATGAATGAATTTTATTTCTAATCAGCGATCAGAAAATTCCCTTTTATATATATACAATCACATTTAACTTGTTTTATGTTCATAACATTCTGTTTTTGCTATGTTTTTCCTTTCTTGCTCAAGTAATTAAATAATCTGGTAGAAATTATAAATACCAAATGACCAATAAATAGTTTATGACCACATTTCACTAGCCAACCCTTTATACTTTCATATTTATTAACTGTAAATATCCCAATCTGAATTCTTGTTATAGAAAAGTATTCCTGTAGTTATCAAATGGATATAACATAAATAAGCAAAAAAATATGACATCAGAAATTTTAAAAAATAATTCTGGAACTCTTACTACACAGAAACTTTCTAAATATACAGTGTTCAGCCTTCAAAGGTACTACAACCAAACTACTTTTCAAACTTTAAACTGTAGAATAATGTCATAAGGAATGATGACAAGTTGCTTACAGCATTTTGTAGCCAAGCACCTCATTTTCTTTCTTTATTTTTACTGGAGCATGCATCTATTTTAAAATTTGAGACACACAGCCACTTGTAAAGTACTATACACGCAAATTCAATTCAATCAATAAAATCATAGTTCAGTTTATACAGTTTTTAGAAGTTTGAAATGTATGTCATTTTCTTTGTAATTCTACATAGTTTATTGACAAATATAATCATAAACAAGGAAAGAAAACATTGTATGCAGTTTGGATGTACCACTCACAATACAAAAAAAACACGTTTTGACCTTTTTTTTTTTATCTTAATTACAGAATAAATTATATAACCATTATATAATTTACAGAATTAATAATCATTATATAATGTTTTGATACCATTTCTACATTATTTTCTGGCACAAACTTATTGAAATAGATTAGAATTAAATTTTTAAATTAAACTTTGAATTCAGAAATGCTAATTTGCACATGAGCAACATTGCTCACCACCATCATTGGAAACGTTTACATGTCTGAGTTAATCAAGATTCACTATCCTGTTTGTTCTAAATAGCCAAATACCAACATTTCAAATGCTCTACATACAAATCCAATACTACTCCATATGTTCAAGATAGACAAGAATAACTATTCCATATATTCAAATTACTAAAGAACACCTATTGACATGTTCAATGACCAGGTATTACCATATCACATGTTCCAAATATTGTAAATGATAAGACATTACCCTTTATCTAAAACAGTGTTGCAAGAGCACGTCACAACTATTTACAGTATTACATTAAAAGTCTAATTAAACAAGTTTATTATAAATTTATGTCAGTAAATTTTGCAAGAAAATGTTGTTTAGAGTTCAAAGTTTTATATTATGTTAGTTTTTACTTCTTAACTTCAAAAAAGCAAATTTTAAAAATTCTCAAGCTTTATTTCATTGTGTCACATGACACATCTGAGCTCCGATTTTTCCACTTCAGAAATTTCCAACATTAAAAAGGCTGCTGTTTGTTCCAACTAACTGGAAACTCACAGTATAGATAATTACAAAAAAACAAGGTACAGTTTGCACCTGTTACTTCTTGATTTGCTGAGATATCAATAAATCTGTAAAACCCACTAAAGAAGCCCTTAACTGACTTTCAAGATTATTTGCTAATCATTGTTACATGTTTATAAGTTATAGGAAGAGTAAATTATCTTCTACATGAAGCTTACTAAAGTTTTGGTAGGGAGAGGATTTAATCAATAGGAATTTCTTGCAGTGCAATTATCCTATTGCTGCTCTGAACAGCTAATAGAATTTATAAGGTTGCTATTTATAGCTTACTCAGAAAGCCAGATAAATTATATTAATTTTGAAACATTCTATTATAGTAATAGATATAATTTTGGTGTTCTAAAATGAATTATTTGAAAGCTACATGAATTATTTTTGGACACCCAAATTTATGAGTCATTGCGGCCTACAGAAGTAGGGCTTCTGATTATCACGAGTGCCAAATAGTTTGATAGCACAGTGAGTACAACAAATCCTTGTTTTTATGTGTACATATATATATATATATAATTTTTTTGTTTAAAAAGCAACTAAAATGTAAACATTAGACACTTAGGCTAACAAAACTTCGGTAAAATAAAATATATAAATTTTTACTAACTCAAGGGGAAAGTCTTGTTAAACTATGTGTACGTTACACGTCATGTTTTTTTGCATTATTTATGTTACAATCTTCAGTAAACAGCTAATGGCTTCTGCTCTGACTTACTGGTTTGTTGTTGCAAGAGTTACTGCTCCAGTAGATACAAAATACTGCAATAAAGCCATAAAAGAGCACAGATATGAAAAGGTTAAGAGTTGTAACTGTGAAGATATGAATTTGAAACTTTCTGATCAACAATGCAGTGGGAAGAATAGTACTATTCATTTTATTTCATATTCTTCAAATTTGTATTTCATTGTCTGTTGGTGACTTCTCTACACACCTGACAATCAAGTATGCTGTTTGTTGAAAGAAAATAAGACAAAATATAAACTTTTACTAAAACACAAATGTTGATATTCAATTAGAAGGTTCTTGAGTTTATACAAATAAAATGTGAAAAATGTAAGATGAAAAGAAGTATTTCTATTATTAGTAGGAAAATGACTTTTCATTTAGTAGAAGATTTAGAAATTCTCAAACAAGTATGATTTCTGGTGTACAGCAGACTTTTAAAGTTCACTAAAAGTTTGCCATATTTCGTGGAGATACACTCAGTAAATTCAGAGTTATGGTACGTACAACTTAACAAACATGGTTTAATGGACCAATGCCACTCTTATATGTTTAAAATGTTCTAAATAATCACACATTATCAATCAACAGGTATAATAATTTCATATGACCCTATGGTCAGTTGCTACCGCTCTACATGATCCAGATGATTAGATTATCATCATTTTGTGTGTTCTAAACACTCATATATCACCATTCTCTAACACATTTCAAAGACAAAGCATCACAGACTTACACATCTCAAATACCATGACATTATCATTCTGTACCTTTTTTAAAAGGCAACAGCCTGACTCATTCTAAATAAAATAAAACTCATATTCCATGCAAAAAAAAAAACTAAGTGTGATAATTTAAACTATTATGGAATAAAAATGTTAATATGCACTACACAAGTTGCTACTTTACTGCTCCTAAATTTTTTCCAAAAAAAATCTATGAATTAAGCTAAGAAATTAGTTTAATCCCATATTACAGAATATCTTCTTCTAGACTACAGAATTTCACAATTCCTTTTTTTATTCAGAGACATAAGAAGGATCCTACTAAAGTCTAATAACATGTCTAGGACACTATGGTTTGTTTTTAATCTGATATGTGTGAAGTCAAGCCTTACTCAAAAAATAAGGATTTCAAATTTATGAATACAAATTAATCATAATAAGCTATTAAAAAAATGTTCTAACAACAGAAAAAAAGAAACTATTCTTCTTCAATTTTTTAAATACAAGTGCCTTACTGTTTAATATAAAGTTTCTGGGAAAGCAGCTGATATTTAAAATTGTCACAATTCAACACAGTCAGGTAGTACTATACTAGTATTTCACCTCAGTTATATCTCTTTTTTCCTTCAACAAATAAAACGTCTCTGCATCAAGAACTGCCCACACAGGCCTCCAGGAACGGTCACTAGATCGCTGTCAAAAAAACAAGGAGGCATTACAGATTTTGAGTAGACTCTTTATAAACAATTGTTGGAAAAGTTTTAAATTAAGCACTAGCCAACTCAGCTTGTGTATTTTATTCAATAAAATCCAAATCTGTGGCAGCCTTAATTTTCTTAAAACCCATAAACTATCTTGTTCGTCAATCTTAAAAGTGTATATTATTTTACAATGTTATATACGTAACACGTAAGAATCATAAAGCGTGCAATATAATGTTTCTCTCTTATTCTTCAACTTCAAAAGTGTTTATTACTTTACAATGTGATATACAGAACACTTAAGCATCATATATTATACAACATAAATTCCTCTCTTATTCATCAGCCTTAAAAGTGTCCATTACTTATACGGCAAAAAAACGTATGTATAGAGAAAACAATCTATGTTACGATTCGGGATATGTTTATAAATTGCATGAGTTACAATGTTTTTCCATTGTCTTGTCTTTACTCATTGAACTTTTGAAAAAACAGTTACATTTGTCGCAATCCAAATAAGGCAAAATAAATTTTATAAAATGTCACTAATGACTAAAGACAAGTCATAAAACATTAGAAAAAATTACTAAAATGTATTCTTAGAGTAGACACACACCACAGATACATAGTAATACACTACTGCTAGCTTTACTGAAACACAACTTCAAACTACATGTGTAAAATGACAAACTGTGAAGCATGAAGTGATTTGGACTTTATGACAAAATATTACAATAATGCTGTAGGTCATTTGAAAAAAATATTCTTATCTTGTAGCATGCTATATCTGGTATAAGACAATTTAATCATCACCAAAGGTTGATCCAATGGGGCACAAAATCCAAACTGGGGTTTCAAATGATTGAAATATTGCAATCAGACATTACAAAATGCATTTTGTAACACTTCTGGTAAATGAAAAGTGAAAATAAAATATGTAAACTATTTTTTTTGTCTAGTCTTTCACAATTTTGAACTGTAAATGTTCTTTTCTATCTTTCTCCGTATTACATTTTGCTGATTTTTTTAAGATTTAAGTTCTTCTTTAGAATGGAAAAAAAAAATGTAGTATTATGTCAAACTCAAGTGAATTTTGTATGACTTGAAATGTGATTTTGTTTCTTTACCCTATGCTCTTGGTTACTGTACAAAAATGGCTGTAATTTTAGATTCAGTCATCTTAAAAGAAAGTATAAATTCACACTGGAAACCTTACAAAACAAATATTTCATCCCCCAAGTTAAATCCACAAGTAGTAAGACTATTTATTAGTATAAAAATTAAGTGAAAACATTCTGATGATTAAATAATAAACATACATTTCTTTGTTTGTTTTGAATTTCGCGCAAAGCTACACGAGGGCTATCTGCGCTAGCCGTCCCTAATTTAGCAGTGTAAGACTAGAGGAAATGCAGCTAGTCATCACCACCCACCGCCAACTCTTGGGCTACTCTTTTACCAATGAATAGTGGGATTGACCATCACGTTATAACGCCCCCACAGCTGAAAGGTCGAGCGTGTTTGGTGTGACAGGGATTCGAACCCACGACTCTCAGATTGCGAGTGGAGCACCCTAACCACCTGGCCATGCTGGGCCCAATAAACATAAGTTTTAGTTTTGTGTTGTTATTAAGTGAGCAAAAAAAAACTAATGTTTTCAAATGTAGCATGAAACTATATTCGTTTATCTTAAGTAGCTTTAAACTCATAACAGTATACACCTACTTATAATTAAATTTTACTGTTTTATTGCCTTTTGAACTGTCTCTGACTACTATTTGCACCATTATAAGTTGTAAATCACTTGAGGAACGTGCAGCTCACATTACGCTATTGAATTACAATTGAATTACGTATGTGCCTCGTAAAATATTTTTATTATATTATCATTATTATATATTTTACCTATTCTAACCTTTACTAACCTAAAGAGATCTCTATTTTTACATTTTAGTTACTTTTATAATAATAAATAAAGAATAAACATAAAAAACAAGAAATAAAGCACTTACCCAAGTAAGTTGACTATTGCTGTTGACTATTGATGATACTTAACCCTACTTTTTTTTGTACCAATGGTAGTAGTTCATTAAATAATTTTTATTTAATTAAATAATGCACCAAAGGACATAGACTAATAAGATGCGAAAACCAGACAATTTCCTCTAACAATCACAATTTTTCTGGCTTTCTAATTATGCAACAAGATCCATTACAAATGTATCCAAGCTAGCCATTGTGATTCCCATGGTAACCAAAGTTGTATTAGAAATGAAATTGACTATTCTGTGTTCAGAATATAACATAACACTATCTCATCTGATAGACAAAAACCTTGACTTTCTATTGGTTATGGGTAATATATAATTAAACGTAAAAGAGAACTATTTACAAATCCTGAAAGAGAGCATGTGACAGGTGGGTGTGGCAGAAGGGGTCTGATTTTCTACTTAATGGCTCTGTAACCAAACAAAATAAAGGTATAGAAATTATGATTTGTCTGACCAATGACGATTTTATAGTGAGTAATTTACGTTTAATTTTGTAGTTTCTGCGAGTGTGGGTGGATAAAATAGAGATGAGAAGATACCTAGAGAAAATGTGTCACACTAGGAAAAATTCAGGATTTTTTAAAATATTCCCCTATAAAATTAAGAACGTAAAATTTGTATACTATTAAAATTTGGATTATTAGCTAAGATTTTATGCTATACTAACTGGTATAATATAAACAAAAAGTAGTTTTTACTAAACTTTTGAATGTAAGTACAACTAAAACCCGTGTAC